TCCACAATATGCATGTCTGACATTGCAATGTTCATATTACGAGTTATAGGTGTCTCATCAACCCATTCGATTTGCAGTTGATCAGTTGTATAGGCGTCTGTAATCGAAATCAGCGCTGAGAATAGCTATTGACAACTGAGTAGAACCGACAGCTCAAAATTCGCAAATGACATCGTTGTGAGTCCAAAGGCCATTTCTCGAGATTCAATGTGCACACAACTACCATCGAAATGCGAGTGTCGTAGAGGATTGATCCGTCTGGCTCTATCCAAAGCAGAAAATTTGGTTGGGTCACCTGAGAAAGGAGTATTAGACGATAAACTGTTTCAGAGTAATTCAATTTATATAACCTGGTGGAATTCAGCAATTCTTGCATTAGCGAAGTAAACATCTGGATGCCACATTTTCCCCAACACATCTTTGTCACGAATTAGGACTCGTCTCAAAAACAAACCATTTTTACCCTTCTTATTCAAGTAAATCTGATTTGATAATATAGAGAGTCAAATTAGCGCTTCTGACCCCTGGTCATGATGGACTGTTAAAAATGACAGCTTCCAGATATGGCATCAACAACGACAGCAGCTCAACATTCATAGAAAAAATTGGAAAAAGGCAAACCAGACGAAAAATGTATTTTACCCTGTCTCGTTGTGGGCCAGCCTTGGATCCTTCCAGAACTGTTGAAAGTATACGTCTAGTTGAAAATCCTAGAATAAGGGACATCTTCTAGCCTTTTTAACTAACAAGGGAATGCTTTTTTTACAAGAAGTAACCGTTCATAACAGTATATATATATATATATATACCAAAAAAAGTCCTTTGGGTAAGTCTGTTGCAAATTTCACTTCCATATCTGCCAAACGGCTTTCTAGACGAAGTAAAGCGCATCTTTTACTGAAGAAGTGTGACAATGGCCTGCGCGGCAACTAATTTGGCGTAGCGTTAGGTGTCCTGGTTCACAATATCCTGTGCAGGTTGAAATCAAGTTGCCGCTAGCTTGTTTGCATATTCTCTAAATTTCATCTAATCCACGTTATCCGTAAAAACCGCTTGCTTCTATCCATTTATTGTCTTTTCAATATTTGTCCTAGGCTGCAACGTTTTGGTATACTGAATTAAGTCATGCTGTGTACACATATGTTAACTACTCAAGGATTTATCGAGACTCTATTGACTGATTGATTTTTTGCATTTTCATCTGAAGATTGTTAAACTGAGATAAGTTGGCACGCTGTTTATATGATACCCACTCAAAGATTTATCAATTGATTTTATTTTGCCGATTTGTCGCACTACTCTAGAATAGCGGAACTAGAGACATAGGGTTAGTGAGATGCCGACTATGAACATGTTATCATTTGGGTTGATATCTACTGTTTTTTCTT